CTCCGGCGGCTGCTCAGTTTTACTTGTATGGCCGGAGGAAAGCGGAGACTTTGCTGCTTATGAGGCGTATGAAGGAGCGGGGAAGCATCTCGTTGGACTCCCGAGTGGTGTACTTAAAGTAGTGGTTTGGGTTGGCCAGCACATCAAAAAGAGTCTTAATCAGTTTTTTATCCTGCGGAAAGAAGAAACAGCCTTCAGACGCTCGCTCACACACATTTATGCCCTAATCTCCTAAAGCTGTCCCACAAGACTTTGAAACAAATTACACAACTGAACGACAACATCAACAAACCTTTCCAGTATTAATATTCAGTCTGACTGGTGTTTATTGACAACGGCTTTGTTCAGCCTCACAAAGACTTTATTAAAGGCTTAAAGCTTAACTGAGTCACCCCGGCTGATTCACGTGTAAATAAGTAACGGGGATGATGATTTAAGAAGGATGAAAAACTGCGCCCACCTTAAGGATTTCTTGATGATTTTCAGAGGCGTAGAGTCTTCCGTCTCTCACGATGTCTTCCACGAGCTGCTCATAGTCCTCTGAAATCCACCGAAACAACACAAGATCGTTGCAGCAAAACAACTCATGGCATAATGGAAAAAACTGAGCTGGTGAAATAATATAATCCACAGACAAATCCATATGTGTAAGTCTTTGACTAATTGGATGTTTCGGACCATTTGACTTAAAGAAAGGTTCAAACAAATCTAAAATGCATTTGTTGGATAGGCAGTGAATCATATTAAACTCTTTTTTTTTTTTTCTAGTTTCCGGCGTGAACAACAAATGTTTCTATGTTCAATCAATGGATTAATTCATATTTGTTTCGAATATCTGAGGAGATTTGATCAAAGAGTAGAAGATTTTAGAGGCCAAACTAACTTGTCATAATTTGTTTTACAGTATATCAGGCAGGAGGGACTACTGTGGCCACTCTGCTCCACCATTTGGGTTAATGACACTTTTTCTAAACGTTTACACTTTTGTTGGTCAGAACAAATCCCAGCGGATTTTTAATGACGGAGAGCACTACACAGGAGAAAGAGACTTGTGAAACAGATTCAATTTAGAATAAACTTTTTTTTTTAAGAAAAAAGTCTTTCAGATGAGATCAAAAGGCTAAAAAGACTGAATTAAAGTCAAAATCTGTCAACTCACCAATGTCAGAATTATGTTTTAATGTTTATATCGGGAAATTATGGAGTTATATTAGTACCAAATAGTTGAATCTACATTGAGACAGATGTGTACAAACGATGTGAGCTCAGCGCCGCCTGTTTCCACACATTTAATCAAATCACGCTCCTCGATCTAAATATAACATGAAATTATTTCTCCGGGTCACAGTAACATTTCCAGAATTGAATTGAAAAGTACCAGTCGCATTGTTACTAGTAGAAAAAAAATATATATAATTAAAATTTCATTAGTAAAAAATAAGGTTAATGTATAAAAATTATTTGCTAAAACAAGCAGAACTGTGTGCACAAGAGCCGTTAAACTAACACGCAAGAGTTGAGCGTTTACATGACACGCTATTGTTTGCTGAAATTAAAACGCACATTACATGCACTGTTCCCTCAACTATGTGACAGAAATTTAACTCCACAGAAAATAATCATAACATTGTTGTGTAAATAACTGTGTGATGTCAAACAGAGTGTGATGTAAAGGTTTATAATGAAGCGCTGACATTTTTAAGACTAGTTGTTTTGTGTTGGGAGTAGTCTACCTTGGTGTTTGTTTCTACATACTGCAAATATTCAAAGAGCTATCTACAACAGGTAAGATACTGATTGTTTATAACCTATTCACTGAGCCCCACTTTAAAATATAAACTACTGCTTGAAAGGGCAAATGCAAATGATTTAAATTTCCAATTAAAAACTATTATCAGTTCAAATGTAAATAAATTTTTGCATAAATACAGCCTAATATTAAAAAAAGTTCAAGACAAAAACCACTGGACTTTATTTGTAACGGAAGACGTTTCGCTCCTTGAACTTTTTTGAATTTACCATGTCCTGGATGAGTGAGAATCTTCACCAGCGTGCAGCCTAATATTGATACTGGTGTTACAGTACTCCCTCGCTACTTCGCAGTTCGACTTTTTGCGGACTCATTCTTTTGCGGTTTTTCAAAGTAAGATTGTACACGTAACAAAATAATAATAATAAATTGTACACGACACACAGTGGTCAACTTTAATATTAATCACGTGATTGGGACAGTACGAGATACTGTACAGTAAAAAGTTAACGAGAAAAAAATACTTTGGACAGGCGCTGCCATTTTGTAGTTTTCTCTCAATAAGCCTACACTGTATCCCCGCTCATAATGAATACATTTCCCAGAAGCCAACAGTGCTTCCAGACGTTACTTTCTGCTGAAATGGAGGGAAAGTTTTGATCCGATACTAAAAAGTTCAGTCCTTATTCATAGTGACTTCGGCGCCCAGCGGATGCAGAGAGCCGTAAGGAACCAGACCAGAACCGGACCTCCAGACTCATCGGTAAATCTGAGTGCCACCTGCCAGCCCATGAGGCCCAACGAGCAGGGTGGCGCCGTCCAGAGGTCCAGTGTTCTCTTTGGAGCCCACCAGGACTCTTTATCTGGATTTTTCTGGATTATTTGGACTCGATCAGGACCATTGTGTGGTTTGTGCTGAAGGTCCAGCTCCCTCCAAAAGCATCTGGTGCTCAACAGCTGCAGAGAGCCAATTAGAACCAGATCAAGGCTGGTGAGTATCCATATAAAATTTTGCAGTAGCTACTGTGTAGTACATACATGTATGTTGTTAAAATGACGTAGGTTTAAGAGTTTAGAACATTGTGGGCTTCGTCGCTGCAGGGTAGGTCTGCAGAACCGGAACTGAGCTGCTGTTCTGCAAAGCTGGTGAGTAAAATCTTTGCAGTACTGTACAGTACATATGCATACGCTGTTAAAATGACATAGGTGTAAGAGTTTTTAAACATTGCAAGAGTGTGGGAAGGATTTTTAAAGCTTTGAAATATATAAATGCTAAAATAAATATCGTTTTTACTTTGCAGATTTTCATTTAGGACGGGGGTGGGGGGAATGTAACCCTCGTGATAAACGAGGGACTACTGTACTGAACTTTTACAAAAAAGCTTTTTTCAGATTCATTAAACAGAAACTATAAACAGCAAAGGCTACATTATATTCTATGACACTCATCTGATCTGTTTATGGATTTTTTATTTTTTTTTTTGACAGATGTTTGTACGGTGTCACCAAAGAGTGTTATTTTAAAATGGAGCCCTAATTTGTAAATGGTAATGCGCAGATATTCAGTGGTAACTGGTTATGATGGGTGGTGATGCTACGAACCATCGTAAGTAACATAAGGGATCTGGAAGCCTCTGGCGCTGTTGGCCTCATTGGACTTGAAGTTAATCCACAGACGTCTGGAGCGAGCTGTGAAGGCGATTGGCCTCTCATACGTCTGACAGGTCTCGTACGTGGTGATGGATGTAGCTGACCCTTCCACAAACACATATGAAGAACAAACATTGATCAGGTATTTGTTTACTCGATCAACTAAACTCGGGCGACTCCACTGCCGGAAAGTGATAAACTCACAGTTCTTCCTCATAACCAGCACATCACCACACTCATCCTCTGAAGGCAGAAAAATCTCAGGCACCACAATCAGAATCTTGCGCTTGCTGGGTGGGTTGATGTTCCAAATGCACTCCACGTTAGCAGGATAATTACCGGGGTAGTTCGGTGACTCAATGTAACCCATTAACTCTCCCATCTCACCCCCACATTGCCTGTCTAGACAGACAGAAACAAACCAAATGAGATCTGAGCTTACGTTAAAGACAACAACAAAACCGCAAACGTCTCGCTCACTTTTGCACTGTGAGACACTTGTGGCACCATCAAAATCAGTGGTGGTGTTTCCCGGGCAGGAAATGCAGTAGTTCTGTCTGAACTCTGTCTGATAGGTTCCCACTGGGCAGCGGATACACCGGTGCACTGTCGTGTTGTAGTAATGACCAGGAGAACACTGAACTGCAGGGTGGAAATTAGAAACACGTAACATAAATGTTATTATTTGTGTAATTCATTCTGGGAGTACATGAAATAAACTAGCTGACCTTTGACTTCACAGTCATGGAAGGAGCTGGCACCTTCCCGCTTGGTGCTGAGTCCTCCGCCGCAGGGGAAGCAAAGCGTCCGTCCCAGATCCGGCTGGTAGGTTCCCTGTGGACATGACTGGCAGGGTTTGAAGCCATCGCTTGAAAAGTACCCAGTTGGGCACTGGCCTTGGATTGGATCAGATGAGCACAAATTTGTTAAGGATGGAGCCTTTTATTGAACAAGAAACTCATTTTAGATTTTGCCATTGAGACCAAACCATACTACCTGCACAGGAAGAGATGTTTCGTGCCCCAACAGGCCCGTGGCCATCACTCCCAGGGCAAAGGTCACAGGCCAGTTGCCCCTCTTTCTCCTGAAATGTCCCAGGTGGACACTGGACACAGCGCTCCTGTCCGCCGTGGTAATAGGACCCTGGCAAACATTTAACTGAGAGAATATCCGGCTACAGTCAGAGAAGGGCACATGCTATGAGAGTTAACTGCATCAAATAGATGACGGATGCACAGGTTTCATTCTTTCTAGTCTCACCACATCCAACGCTGGTCCTCTCTGAACCTGGGGCGCACTGCCCCTGATTGGGCGCAGTCTGAGGAAGCTTTTGAGCCACCTCATACTCCAAACCAGCAACTCGGATGAGGAAGCGCTCCTGGTTGATGGACTTCTTTAGAGATTTGATGTATGTTTTTACCTGCTTCTCCATTCGCTGTCGCAAGCAGCTGAGGTTACAACTTCCTGGTCAGGAAAGAACAACAACAGGTGAAATAACTGTGACTGTGCACAGACGAAAAGTGTCGACTGTACCACAAAACAGAACACTCAACAGGAACTAAGATGGCTGACCTGTGGTGTCTCCAGGTTTGACCTCAGCCTCCAGCTCCAAAGTGATGCGCGTCACCTCTTTGTTCGAAGGGTTGCGAGTATGTCGCCCTTTAGCTTTCTTGGACGAGTCGCACGTCAGGTTAACAAATGTTACCTGGCAGTTGCTGCACAGCTGACCCCCTCCTGCAGACAAACACAAACTGTGAAGCTGCACAGTGCATCAGATTATAAACCTGCTTTATATTCCACATGCATTTAATGAAATCGGGGCTGCGTGGTGGAAAAGTTTGTTAGCACCATCCCTTCATAGCAAGAAGATCCTGGGTTTGAAACTTTGTGGTGTGGAGGTTGCATGTTCGCCTTGTGCATACATTAACTCCCACAGTTCAAAAACATGCATGTTAGGTTAACTGGGGATTTAAAATTGTTCCTGAGTGTGTTTGTGAATGGTTGTTTGTGTGTCGGTCCTGTGATGGATTAAAGAAACGTCCAGGGCGTGTCCCGTCTCTCACTCCATGACCACTGGAGAGCAACACCTGCTCCACACAACCCTGAGCAGTCAGGTACAGAAAACGGATGGATCTGTTCAAACCACTGTGGCCTCATTTAAAAAACAGTTTTTATGGAAAAAAGGTAGAAGATAAAGAATTCTTTCAACTCTGGATAAATCAACTAGAAGTGTTGTAAAATCTGCATTCCTGTGTTAATGGACTTAAAAACTGAAGGCAATGACACATTAGCTGTCCAAACATAACTTAAAGTGAGTACAAATATATCAAATGCTAAAATAAAACGTTCAAATGAACACATTTAGATTTTTAAGCAAACATGTTCCAACTAATTTTGACACAAGCAATACATTTTAGATGTTTTACAAAAATCTGGGAAATCACAAAAAGCTAGGAGGGAAGAAAACTTCAGGAAACTACAGGTATGCAGCATAACTGGGTATAAAAACTGCATCACTGCAAGACTGTGTGAAGAATGAAGGTTACGTTTTGTATCTGTTAAAAATAAAAATAAATGCCACAAAAGGGGAAATTAAAGGGAAAAAAAAGATTTAATCATCATACTGTAAAATACTATTAAAGTTAAAAATATACAAAACACGAGATAACTTAAACCAAATAGTTGCAGTCTTTAGTCTTTTTTGCAGCATTTGCTTTAAAACAAAAATTATTCAGTTGTGGGATTTACAACATGGGCTGAAAAGCAATTCTCAAAACAATAAAAAAATATAGATTTCACTCTAAACAAAAAAAAAAGCAATTTTTTAAAATCTAACAATGTTTAGTTTACGTTTTATAGTTGCAAAAGTATAATTTCAGTCATTTGCGATTCTATTTTTAGTCATGAGGTCATATTTGTCATGAAAATTAAAATACACACACAAAACGAGGAGTTTGCTGAACACGAAGAAGTGATTTCTTGTCTTTTTTTGCTTTTAAATCCAGAATACAGCAGCAAATCATCCATTCATGTTTGAAAGTGATGTCAGTGTGCAGCGCTGACCTGGTCCCAGAGTCCGTCCCCTGTCCTCGGACCTGCCGGTCAACTTTGGGTGCAGGTGACATTTGGCATTTTTAATCTTGAAAGAAGCCGTCTGCTTCACTGGAGGCGCCAGAGTCTCTACAGACAAACACAGCCCAGTGGGTGGGAGGACGCAGAAACATCGTGCAGCTACAGATATTAACATGTGCTGGTTTTTGAAAAGGGTTTGATGTAAAAAAAATTAAAAAATAAACTATATATATATATATCAAACCTATGCAGCCCTGAATGTTGCTGGAGTTGATCCTGGCTGGAGGCTTCCCTGTCAGATTGGGGATGCCACAACTGACTGAGTAGCTGTTATTTATCCCTGGAAAAGTTCACACACAAACAAAATGAGTTTATGAAGAGTTTAGTTTGTGCCCACACTCCAAATAACGGTAAAATACCTGCTAAATAGTAAGCTTTAGAAGCACAGGTGAGAGAACAGCTCTCCTTTTTGTCCGTCTTGCTGCAGGTCAGAGTGGCTTTTGGTGCAACCAGTCCTGCAGGACATTTCACCAGCTCTGAGAAAATAAAACACTGAATCACTAAACAGAAGCTGCACAGCCTCAGGTGTGAAAGAGAATCAACCACATGGGGGCAGTGATGTCACATACCGATGCAGTCCTTCCTGTTCCAGTGAAGCTTGTGGCCAGGTGGACAGGTACACTCATAGCTCCCCAGAGAGTTGATGCAGCCGTATTTGCAACCCCCACGATTTATACTGCACTCATCAATATCTGTGAAAAAATATGTGTCGACAAGAACGTTTTATAGATTAGCATAAGAGAAATGATTTCCATCAAACATCAGAATGCAAGAAAAAACAGTCTTCCCCGGCAAAAAATGAAATGAGAAACATGAAGAAGCAACATTGTCATTGCCAAACTTATGGAATAGTTTTTTCTACCATAGACCTTATTAAAAACTGGTTTATTTGAAACGCTACAGCTGTGGAGGAAGCGTTTCTGTGAACATCATCCTGTCAGAGTGATTAAAGTGTTTGTGCGTAAACAGAAGTTCAGTTCTTGTTTTGATGTCACCCACATTTAATTTCATGGTCAGAACTTCTCGGCTGTTCGGGGAGGAAGACTTGTGGTAGGCAGTAAAATTTAATCACCTTTTCAAACACATGCCGAGCTAAAACCACTGAAAGCAGCCGGGATCCAGATGCAGTCTGACTGCAATCGATGGCAGACAGAAAATCAGTTTAGAAAGCAAAGCTGGGCGTTCAGCAGGGCTGTGAACAAGTGGCACACACATTCAGCAAAGAGACTGAGATAATGGCAGTGACTGACGATCTGGGCTGCTGATATGAAAAGCTCCTCCTTGTCTCAGTCAATTATTCACCCTGACTGAAAACAGTCTGCCGCGCTCCTTTAGGAAGATGATGACTTCATCAACAGCCTGCGCTGCCTGGAAATGTTGTGAAGGGTGTGCTGCGCATCCTTTGCATCAAAGCACTCCATTTAAAGGACAAAGCCCTCTAATGAATATCTGATGGAAGCTAAGCTCATCTGCCAGCAACTGACTTCTTTTATCTTCAAATGTTCCAGTCTGACATTTCTCCAGATCTCTGTGCGTGCTCACACAGCCCAGAGTGTTGACATGAGCCAAGAGAGAGGAAGGACCGGGACACAAAGACAAACTGACATTTAGAACCAAAGAGTGACGCAGAGGAGCTCTGAAAGGGTTTATCAAAAAGTTATCATGTTCAAAGTTTAGTAAGTTTACCTTGACAGTGAAAATGATTAAATTGTATAACAAAACAGCTGTTTAATTAAAGTTCTCCTTCAGATCATTTGAAGGAGACTCTGTGGTAAGATGTAACATCTTACCTGTTGTAGACAGCTCATAGAAAAACATCAGATCAGACAAAAAAAGAGTTTGACCTGAGTTAATGGCAAATCCAAGTGGAGTCAAGACTGAAGTGGATTGCTGTTAAAAAAATAAAAATCTAAAAAAATGTTAAAATAAAATTTTTTCCCCATCTTAATGTCGTCCGTCACAGAGGAAGAGAAGGAACTGCAAATCCCTTTTGTCCGTCTATTTGTTTGTGTGTGTTGCAAGCATGATAACTTTAAAAAAATAAGTGAAGTACTGACTTCAATTTGGGTGTGGCTGCATCTACTGTAGGTGTAAAACGTTTTCTCTCGAAAATTGGGTTGTCACGTCTATATATATATATATATATATATATATATATATATATATATATATATATATTACTCTTTTTTTTGAACTAAGCTTTTTTTTCG